TTTATATTTTATTTTGAGATAGTGTCTTGCTAAGTTGCCCAGGATGAGCTCAAATTTTTCATCCTTCTGCCTCAGCCTCCCAGAGTGCTAGGATTACAGGCATGTACTACCACGTCCAGCCAATCAATGCATTCTTTATTTTATTTTGTGGAACCGGGGATTGAACTCAGGCCTTTGAGCTTTCCAGGTAAGCACTTATTCTACTGAGTCATCTCCCCAGCCCCTCAATGCATTCTTTAAAGACATTTGTATACTGTGTTGCAGTGGGAGGGTGTCGCGTGGTCTGGTGGTGGACATTTAGGCTATTCCCAGCTTGCTCCTGTCACTCAGTGCCGTGGCACACAGTGTGGTCTGTGCCACATGTAGAGGGCTTGCTGAGCAGAGGGTCTGTGAGTGGCCTTGCTGGCTTGTGAGACACCGCCAGGTTGTCTTTGAGGCAGCTGGCTTCTGACAGTGCCACCTGCCACGAACGTGTGGACAGCAGAATGTGCCCGTGAGGTGCCGTGAGGCAGTGAAAGAGAAGTCAGAAGTGGGGTGTTGGCTTCAGTGGGACCCCAGGGTGTGGGCTGGTGGCTGCTACTGGCTTCTGTTTCTTGAGGACCTTTTGGTGACAGTGGTGGGGTTACTTTTAGGGGGTGCCAGTGGTGAATGCATCCTGTGTCTGTGTGTGGCCATGGGGTTTGAACCTAAGGCCTTTGTTCTGAGCTAAACCTGCACTGGGAAGAGTGCAGCTGCTGGGGCCAGAGAAGCCTGGAGACTGAGGCAGCTCCATCTTGCTAGCCCTCCCGTGTTGCCTCATCTGAAAAATGGGGAACATGCTTCCTGCCTCTCCAAATGATTGGATGACTTGGGGCTGGCCAATCAGTGGAGATGGCAGTGCTGGTTTGGGGTCCCTTGGGCTATGGTTTGAGGACTCGCATTGGCTTGGGGTATCTTTGGGAAGCTTTTCTGCTCTCTCTGAGCCTCACTTTGAGCCGTCTTTCTTACCTGTTGTCTCTGGCCAAGCCTTTCTGGAGTAGAGCGGAGGAAAACCCAGGGTTGTTCTCTGTGAGACGAGAGACTCTCAGCTTATCCTCCCCCTCCCCCCAAATCCCATGACTGCCTTGGATCTCATAGCCTCGGCTCCCCAGAGCCCAATCTTGGGGCTGCCTCATGGCCTTGCTCTTGTCTGGGTCTGAGGCTCAGCAGGGTTCCTGGAAATCTGACTGTTCCCTCCCATATTTTCTTCCCCATAGCAGATTCTCTTGGGGAAGCAGGAGCTGGCTGGCCATGAGGGCTGCAGGTGTCACACAGAGCCTACTCTGCATAAGAGGAAGAGAAAATTAGAAGAAGGGAACATGGGCCCTCTTTTCTCCTTGCTGACTCAGGAGCAGACATTTGTGTGGTGAGGTTGGGGAAAGGGGCACATTCTTAATCCAGTAATCTGCATCTTTCTGGCCCCTGGGATAAGTTTTGTGGAAGAATTTTTCCACTGACATGGGGTAGTGGTCTGGAGATATTTGAGCACATTATGTTATTTATTTATTTTTGAGACAAGTTCTCACTATGTAGCCCAGGCTGGCCTTGAACTCAGGGTAATCCTCCCGCCTCAGCCTCCTGAGTGCTGGGATTAGAAGTATGCATATTTATTATGCACTTTATTTCTGTTACACTGTGTGCTTTCTTTTCTTTCTTTCTTTCTTTTTTTTTGTTTTGAGGAACTGGGGATTGAACTCAGGCCCTTGCACTTGCCAGGGAAGTGCTTATTCTGCGCTGCCATCTCCCTGGCCCCCTTTATTTTCATTTATCACTTCTGTTGACCTGACAGGAGACAGCGCTCAGGTAGTCATTTGAGTGAGTCTGTCAGGAATGCAGATCAATACAGAGGAGGTTTGCTTGCCCACATCTTACCTTCCACTGTGCAGCCCATTTCAGGACACTGACTGGTTCTGGTACTTGGCCAGGGGTGGGGTGGGGTGAGGAGCCCCTGCTCTATGCAGTCTGAGCCACTGCATAGCGAGTCAGAGCATTCATATGAGGTCTTGATCTGCTCTGGGGAGGCCCGAGAGGCTATAGGAGGAAGGAAAGGCCCCTCAGGGTGCCCAGGAGCCCCCACGCCCTGTTCCTGTGTCACTACACTGCACCATGGCTGCTGTCCAGCTGTAGTCAGGCTGTGTGTGCACTCAGGCTCCGTAGCCTCCCAGGGACTGTGAGCTGAGCATTTCTCTCTCTCTCTCTCTCTCTCTCTCTCTCTCTCTCTCTCTCTTTCTCTCTCTCTCTCTCTCCCCCCCTCTCTCTCTCATCACACATGTGAACACGGAAGCTATCTCAAGATCACAGAGAGGGGAGGATGGAGACATGGTGTGAAGCCAGGTCACCTGTCTTCAAAGTCCAGCTCTTGCTTGGGCTCAGTGCTGCCCCACCAAGACAGAGCAAGAAATCTGGGGCCTCTCTTAAGCCACCCTTCTACAATTTTGCCCTTGATATTTATAGGATGAGATTTCATCTGCATACACACACAGAGGGCCACCCAGTCCTGCACACCCACTCCAGAAAGAGAAGCCCTGTTCCTGGGGGCAGACAGCCTGCCGCCTGGGTTTCAGCACCGTGGACAAGGCACCAGCCCTGAGACCTCAGAGGCGGGGAGGAGCCGGCAGGTGCAGAGCTGAGCGCTCAGGCTGGGGGCGCTGGCTCTGGTGCTTCCTTGCATCCGCAATCTTGTCTTTGCTTCCTCCACCCCTTTCCACCTGCAGAGGGTTGCCTGGGACTCTGGTTCCCTTCTTGTGTCCTTCTAACCTTTCCACCCTCCTACATTCTCCGGGAGCCCATGTGTGTCTGGTGGGGGTGGGGAGGAGGAGGGCATCCTCTAACACTAGAGCCCAAGCCAGGCCATGGCGAGTCAGGGTCTTGGTCCTGACATCTTGTGCTGTTCTGAAGAGGCCAGAGCTGCTGGCAGGAGGAGCTGGGCTCTCATGCACCTTAGGAAACACTGGGCAGATCCCTGGTTTCAAGGCCCGAGTGTGTTCCAGGGAGCACCTGCACCCTTTTCACTGTTCCTGGTGGATTTTACACACCAACACTTAATTAAATTGTAAATTTACATGGTCTCGATTTAATGTAGAAAAAAGCTAAGCTGATTATGACGCAAAGGAGAGAAACGAGGGGCTGCCCTATGGCGGCTGTCAAGGCTCAGTCTGCAGTGGAGGAGGGCTTCATGTCCCGGCTTCCAGGGGCCTCAAGGGGTTCATGTTGGCAACTGGAGACCTCAGGGTGGTCTCTGAACTCTACAGAAGGGTGCGGCTTTTTGAACAGTTGTGTCTGTATATAAATTTCATAATCCTTAAATTTTTCTGGGGAGAGGTTTTTGTAGATTTCATTAGATCTTCAAAAGGCTTATGATGTTAAAGAAAAATGTGGAAGACAAAGAAAATCCTCTGGGCTACAGCATCATCAGTTTGAAGCCTCTGTTGAGTCTGTTGCTCACCAGGTGGCAAAATCCCAGTCCAACCTCCCCTGTCCATGTCCTCCTCTCTGCAGCTCCTTCTCCCCTTCCCCTGTCCCCTCTCCCCAGCTTGCAGTTCACTGTGGGGAGCAGAGATATCTCCTAGTCCACACTGCAAGTGCGTTTTGAAACACCAAGATTCCTAGCAATCTATAAGAGATTTGGTTTCAACCCTTTGTTTTATGCACACATTCTCAAAAGCAAAAACAAGCCCATGCATTTGTAGAGCATGAGGCCAACTGCACAGGCAAAAATGATTATTCCCAAACAAAGCAAATCCGTATACAGGGAAATGGGTGAGCTCAGGAGGCAGAAGTTTTTCTTTTTCAAGTACCGGTCAATAGCAATTGATTCTTGGAGTGTGGCAGGCTTTGGAAGGTTCCGAAGCTCGTGCAGCATTGCTGGGCTGGGCTGAGGGTTAGCTCCCCAGGCGTGGTTGTCCTCCTCAACCATCTGATTTGCAGTTGGGGGAGTATTGTTGCTCGGTCTCATGGCACTGCCTAGCGCTCTTTGTGAAGTTCTGGGTCAGGATCAGAGCTCAGACGGGGTCTGGGCTCATGGCTTAGTTGGAGATCTCAGCTGTCGGTGTTAGGGTCAAGCATCAGTCTGGAACTCCCACTGAGGCTCAGTCAAGGATCAGGGTTCAGCTCATCGCTGGGACTAGAGCTCAGTCGCGAAGCAAGGTCAAGATCAAGTCTGTGGCTAGGAGCAGGGCCAGGCTAGGGTTCTTTCTCAGCTGATTCATGCAGCCTTCCTTTCTGCAGGTGCCCAAGGCCTCACAGCCAGGGGTGGAGTCTGCTGACAGCAGGCGTCTGGCCACCAAGCACAGCCGGAAGGCCTTGAAGGCCAGTCTGACGCTGGGCATCCTGCTGGGCATGTTCTTTGTGACCTGGCTGCCCTTCTTTGTGGCCAACATAGTCCAGGTAATGCCACAGATGAGCCCAGGACTTGATGGGGAGACCTCAAGCCTCACCCCAGCCCAGGCTGGGCGGGGGGAGGGATAGGCCACCTCCCATGGTGCCCATGTTTGTGTGTGGTGGGTAGTCAGGGTCTCTGCCTGGGGTTATGCGTGACACATCCTGTCCCCCCTAGGCTGTGTGTGACTGCATCTCCCCTGGCCTCTTCGATGTCCTCACATGGCTGGGGTACTGTAACAGCACCATGAACCCCATCATCTACCCGCTCTTCATGCGGGACTTCAAGAGGGCCCTGAGCAAGTTCCTGCCCTGCCCCCACTGTCCCCAGGAGCGCCGGGCCAGTCTGGCCTCTCCCTCCATGCGGACCTCTCACAGCGGTGCCCGCCCTGGCCTGAGCCTGCAGCAAGTGCTGCCACTGCCGCTGCCTCCGGACTCCTCAGACTCAGACTCTGGTGGCTCCTCTGGCCTGCGGCTTACAACCCAGCTGCTGCTGCCTGGAGAAGCCACCCGGGACCCCCCACAGCCCACCAGGCCCGCTGCTGTGGTTAACTTCTTCGACATCGATCCGGCGGAGCCCGAGCTTCGGCTGCACCCCCGCTGTACCCCCACGAACTGACCGCGTTTGGAGCTGACCAGTGAGAACTGGACTGGGTGGGGACCAAGCCCCGGAGGCCCTGAGCCAACCCTTGGCTAAGGCCAGGGAGCTGCAGGTGTCTTGAGAGCCCTCTGAGCTTCAGAGGGTGCACTGAGCTGACGTCCTGCACGTCTCCAGGCCCCTGACCTGAGGAGAGCCGGCTTGGGCACAGAAGATGAGCTGTCACTGCCAATCAGTTGAGGTTTCTGTAGAGGATGCTGGGTGGGGTGGGAGTTGGGACCCAAGACCTCTTGGTTCAGATTAGGTTAAAAGCAATCCTGACCTTTGCTCTTTCTCCCAGGCTAGCGGTAGGCACACTTTCTATGGGTGTGGCTTCATGTGTGGCCCAGTCTTGGCTACCCAAAGTGCAGTTCTCAGGCCTGGAGCAGCCTCCCCACCTTTCAGGTGTTCTGCAGGGTGCACATCTCGCCCGCCTCAGAGCTGCTGTCAGTATTGTACCCTAACGAGGTCCCCGGTGATACAGTTTGAGATGTGCTGGCTGGGATGTCCTTGAACCCCGAGGAGGACTTGATGGGCCCTTCTCAGGCCCGCCAGTCCCCAGGATGAGAGTGGCAGCACAGCAGTGCCCTTGAGCCTGGGAGTCAGGTGGGCATATTAGCACCTTCGCACAGGTTCCTTAATTTCTGAGTCACAGGTGTCTCTGGAGTAATGATGCCACTTTGTAGCTTTAAGACTTAGGATGATGCACATGGTGTGGCCTGTTGTTATAACCTCAGTGGGCCAGAAGGGGCTGTGTGTTTCCACTGTTGTTCTTTAGCAATACAGGGGATGGAACCCAGGATTTTGCACATACTAGTCAAGTGCTCTACCACTGAGCCCACCCTCCAAGGTCTAGATTCCCACCACCTGACTGGTTCCACAACTCCTTTTCTGGGTACTAGATGGGGCTCCCACTGCTCAGGGACCCTCGCAGCTCCCAGCCTGTGTCGTCTCTCCTGGGGCAGAGGGGAAGATGGCAGTTTCTTGTTCAACATCAGGGATGGGTTTTGCTACATCCTGGGCTTCCAGAAACTAATGGGATAAATCCAGCCCCTTGTCCTGCCCGCTTCCAGTCTCTCTCAGGGCCAATGAAGGAGCCTGGAATGGTGGCTACTTCAGTCCACAGGGGAGAGTTAGAGAACTGTCCCTGGTGCGAGGTGGGGCAACAGGCAGGCAGGCGGACTCTTTGGGCAGGAGGTGTGGGAATTTGGTTCCTAATGTACCTGCTCTATTGGGTTTTTCTTAAAGCCTCCAAGTTTCATCAACCCCTAACCTACCAGGGGCCTGGCGCTCTCCTTGGTGCTGAAACCCAACTTGGTCCTGGCTGCTGGCTGCAGAGCGGCCATGGTGCTTGCTGGGACTCCCTGGATGCCTCCAGGCTGTCAATAAACACAAGATAAGAAAGTGACCATAATGTGGACTGGATTCTATGGAGGGGTCAGGGAGGCTTGGAAAGCAGCTGGGGCCGTGGGAGGAGACATCAGGCCTGTATGTCCTGGGTTCTAGTCTGGACTCTGCCTCTACTTTGCTTTGGGGCCCCAGCAAAATCACTACCTGAGTTGGACTCAGCTGCCCATGTGAGGCAGGAGTGGTCTGGATGAGAAGTAGAGGTGTGGCGTAAATGTCATGGAGTAAACAAATGTATCCCCGCTGGAGACACCACCCAGCTGCTGCATTCCGGGACCAATCCCTCCTGCCCAGATCCGGGCTGCGTGTCCTCTGCCTGGGTGCATGGAGGGTCACCTCTGGCCCTGCCACCCAGGGGCACCGGAAGGCACAAAGAGGAGGGCACCAGTGGATGCAGACAAGGTGCCTAGGAGCTTGGGCCCCGGAGTCTCACTGGTTGGGGTTGGCTCTGCGACCTCTGGCAGGTTGCCTAGTCTCTTGGAGGCACAATATACAAGGAGGACGGCAACAGCTCCTCAAGGGTAATTCTGAAGATTGACATCACAGGGACTGGTGAGATGGCTCAGTGGTCTAAGGCACCTACTTAGAGCAAGCTTAGCAAAGCGCAGGGACCGCGGTTCAATCCCCCAGCACCACATGCCAGCCAGCCCGCCCCCTGGTGGGCTGAGCTGGCCACACACACACACACACACACACACAAATAAATAAAATTAAAAAAAAAAAGACTGACATCACAGAAACACAGGGTATGGGGTAGGAACTTAATGCAGGGTGGCTGCTGGTATTGTTTATTATTGTCATCAGTCCCGTTCCTGCCAGGACACCCTTCCCCTGTAGGATCCATTGTCACCAGGTTCCCATTACACCACATGCTGCTCCCATACTTATCCTTCCTGTCCTGTACAGCTACACCCAGATGTGCTGAGCTGCCCTTCAGGTTCGTCCTACATTGCTGTGACTGCTGTCCCTATATTGAGCCGTGTGCAACCTGTGTGGCTGTACAAGACAGACCTGATTGGATCTCCTAGGAGCACACTGGGCCTGCTCTGCACATTGCCCCTGTGGCCTGGGGGGCAGGCAGCTCTGGAGTGTGGATGGAAGGGCGGGCAGACACCTGGCTTCACTCTGGCCCCACAGATCCCCATGCACCCCGAGGGACAGCCAAACCTCACAGCTGGGATCTGAAGTGCAGGGGGCACTTGACCATGCAGGTCTCTGCCTTTGCTTCCTCAGGGAGGCAATGTCCCACCCCTCCAGTTCTACTTCCTTCAATTCTTCTTCAATCCTAATTCTTTCAGCTCAGCAAAGGCACTTGTAGAAATTTCCACCTTCACAGCTCACCCAGAGTCTGGGTGCATAGAGAGAGCCCCATGTAGAGACCAGGGAAGACAACTCAGGTCCCCGCTGTGGTCAATCCAGCCCTGGGCAGAGGTCCTGGGTCTCGTGGGCACAGTCGGGGCAGCCTAGTGGGTTGGGGCCCATGCCATGGCTGCAGACATGAGGGCTCTGAGTTGGGCCTGCAGTAGCAGGAAGTGAGGCCCCTTCAAACTGGTCCAACTCTGCTGGCACCTGGGTGTGGCTCGGGTCAGGGGACTCAGCCACTTTGGGGGTGTCTCCAGGTGAAGGGTCCTTGGGTTGCCCATCCTGATGGGGGATCTGACTTGCTGAGAAGGTGGCTGCAGCTTGGCCAGACTCCTCTTGGGACTGGCTGCCTGGGGCCAGCAAAAGCCCCTTCTCACCCCAGCCTGGTTTGGTGCGGATGCCTACGGCCTTCAGGATGACTTCCATCTGCTTGGCATAGTCCAGGTGGCCGCTGACCTGCAAGAAGACAAGGACCAAGGGTAAGGGTGGGTGCAGAGCTTCCGGACCTCACCCTTGGCAGCATCAGACGCCCGACCACCAGTGCCAGGACTCCGTCTCTCAATGTCTCTCAAATCCAGAATGCAGAGCTGTCCTAGCATTGATTAAAGGCGGAGAAAGTTTCTCTAGTTTCCAGCCAAGGAGATGACTGTGGTTGGCGTGTCCCTCAAAGGTCCTGCACTGGGAACTCAACCCCCTGATGTCACCATGTTGAGAGGTGGGGACTTGCACAGGTGAGTGTCACAAGAGTTGTGTCCTTGTGGAAGGATGGAGGTCATTATTGCAGGAGTGGGCTGCTTACCACCAGAGTGGGTTTGTCATAAAAGTGAGCTCACAGCCGAGCTTGCTAATCCCAGAACTCTGGGAGGAGGATGCAGGAAGATTCAAGTGTGAGTTCTGCCTGGGTAATGTAGTGGCTTAGCAAGAATCCATATTTAAAAAAATGTAAAAAGGGCTCAGTGCAAAGACCTGATTTTAATTCTCCAATAATGAAAAAAAAAAAAAAAAAAAAAAGAGGGAGTTCACCCCCATCCTTCCCTCTTACCTTTTATGTCACAAGAAAGCCAGATCAGTACCACAGCCATGGACCTCCTGGTCTCTAGAACCATGAGCCAAATAAATTCCTGTTCATTATAAATTACCCAGTCTTAGGTATTATCTTGTAGTAGCAGACATGGACTGAGGCAGAGAGGAAGCGATAGCATTCTGTGATGCTCCTTGGAATTCTTCTAAAGAGAAGCGCTATTCTTGCTTTTCCATTTCCTCTTTCTGGCTGGTTGGAATTCGAATGGGATGGCCAGACCTTGTGCAGCCATCCTGGGCCATGAGGTGGCCCATTAAAGATGGCAGAGTATGCAGCAAGATAGAATGCTGGCCCTTGAACCCCGTGGAAGTCGAAAACCAGCCCTAAACTGGCAATTCTGGCTTCTTTCATGCCACAGGGGCCACCCTGTCTAAAATGTTTCAGCAGGACTCAGCCATTTGCTAAGACAAGGGCCAAGAACTCAGAAGCCAGCCCTGGACAGAAAATCGATTAATGCCAGTGCTGTGGAAATGGGTTGAAGGGGATGGGAAATCTCCAGGGAGGGTGACTCTAAGGGAGCCACACCAAGATTTCCTGGCAGCACCTCTGTCCCATGGGTGTAACAGATCACGCTGGGCAATTAAGTGACTTTTTAAGAACACAGAAGGAAGATTCTCTGCACAGCTTTGTTATCTTTGTCATCACCTGCCTGCCCCCTGTTCCTCTTCCCACAAACATTTAAAGACAGTTCTCCATGAAAACACATGGCACACACATTTAAGTGGCTGCTCAGGTCCCAGGGCTCAGGGTGGAGGGCAGTTAGTGGCTGCGTGGCACCAGAAAGAATCTAGGTGTGGGCTCTGAGAAATGGGTCCTGGCCCTGGCTCTGGCTCTGGCTCTTCCTGGGGGCCAGGCTGGCTCTCACAGTCTCCTGAATCTCAGCTTCCCCATCTGTAAAATGAGGCTCACGATGCTGAATGTGTGCTTCAAAGAGTCCATGGCTCTGGCGCTGTGTAGAAAGCAGTGTGCACGCCGTCTTGCCCTGTGATCTTCTACACAGGATCCAAAACCCTTGCACAGACACACCACCTGATGTGAGCTACTCAAAGCATTGGTAAGAGGAAATGATACATGCACATCACAAAGCAGAGCACCTGGCACGTAGCAGGCATGCCACACGCCCTTATTCTGGTTTCTTCTCTTTTTTCTTCAGTAAAAAAAAATTTTTTTGGTAGTACGTGGGATGGAATCCAGGGTCTTCACACTGAGCTACAGTCTCAGCTCTTTCAAATTTTTTTTTTTAAGTTTTGAGACAAGCTCTTGCTAAACTGTTGTTTTCCAGGCTGGGCTCAAACTAGTTTCCCAGGTGGCTCCACTAGTCCTCCTGCCTACCATGCCAAGGACTGTTTCTCCTCAGCCATGACATCCTGCCTTGGAGTCAGCTGAATATGGACTGTCTCCTCTGCAAACTGCAAGCTAAAATAAGCCTCTCCTCCCCCTTTAACTTGTGGGTGTTGGGTATTTTGTCCCAACAATGAAAAAGGAACTAACACAGTCTCCCTACACCTCTCCATTGCTGCTTAAAGGCCAAGGCCAGGGCTGGAGGGAACAAGTTCGGGAGAAAGGGAGAGGTTGGCAGTTGCTTGGTACCACTAACTCCACGAAGCTGTCCCTGAACACACAGCTCCAGTTCTCCTCTGCCAAGCCCAGAGCCTGGGCTGCCATTTTGCACCGACTCAGGAGGGAGAAGCCACTGTCTGAGCTGTGACTGTAGAAGACAGTGCAGGGGTGAGGTGGGCAGGAAGAGCGTCAGCCTCGCCGTGGAAAGTTCTGGATGCAGACTTCAGCCTGGGTGCTCAGGTACATGTTGGACTTTGCTACCTAGCGTGCTAGCGTGGAGAAGCCTTTCTCAAGGCTCCTGTAGTTGGGGATCCCCTGGGGTTCCATGGCCTCTGTGGCACCTGAGTTGGCCCTCAGTAAACCCTCAGTGTCAGCTACTCATGCAAATGATTTGCTGATAGGCTGGAAGCTCGAGTAAGGTGGGGACACTTGTGACAGCCTGAGTTCCCTCGACAACCTGCACATCATGGGGACCCAGTGTTCTTAGGTTTGCACAGTCCCTGGCTTTCTTTACCTCTTGGGGTTCAGTTCCCTCCTCTGTAAAGTGGGAGTAGTGAGGTAGACACAGAGGGGCATTCCTGTGATCCCAGCACTCGGGAGACTGAGGCTGAGGCACTGGATGACAAACTCAAGCCCAACCTGGGCAATGTAGTGAGATTGCCTAAAAAAAAAAAAAAATAAAAGGGGGCTGGTGAGATGGCTCAGGGGTCTAAAGCACCCCCTTAGAACAAGTTAAGCTTAAGCAAAGCCCAGGGACCACGGTTCAATCCCCCAGCACCACATGCCAGCCAGCCCCGCCCCCTGGTGGGCTGAGCTGGCCACAGACACACTAAATAAATAAATAAATAAATAAATTAATTAATTAATAATAATAATAAAAGGGCTCAGTGTGAAGGCTCTGGGTTCAATCCCCAGTATCAATAAAGCAACAAACAGACTTCACCATGTGGCCTGCGGGAGGACTCTCTGACAATATGGTCACAGGCTCCCTGGCAGAGTAGGGGCCGCCTCTCCAGGCCACAGGGGTAGGAACAAGGCAGCCCAAAAGCATGGTGAGGGGTGCAGGCCCTGAAGCAGGTTCCTCAGACTCACAGCTCACAGGCATGAGTTGGGAACCTTCCAAGGGCCCACCAGGAGAATCGGACAGCAGATTCTGGCAGGGTGCAGGGCAGGGCCTGGCCCAGGCTCTGGCCTGTCAGTATTGAGGATGTGGTTGGTGCCCAGCCCTTTGTTGAGCTATAGATGCCAACTGGCACCTCCTCTGGGACAGGAGAGTCTCTCCCCAGGCTGGGACTCCCAGGAACCTGCTGGCCTGTGGATCTGCACGCCAAGAAGGAGGAGGCAGCAGCCTTTCCTCCCTGGAGTTCCCAAGGAAAATGGGAGGGCCACCCAGAGGCCACGCTAATTACCTCTAATTACCCAGAGGAGAAAAGCGCGCTTCTGAGCAGCTCCTAATGTGATAACGAGCTATTGTTAGGCCGGAGTTGGGAGGCTGCCACCCAGACATCTGGAGGAGGGACGGAGTCTGGAAGCATCTTCGGATAACAGCTGCCGGCAAGGAGGGAGCTGGTACTAAGTGAGGACCTATTATGTGCCAAGCATTTTATGAAGGCACAGAGAAATTAAGTAACTTGCCTAAGGTCACACTGCTGAGCTGGGAGCCTAAGCCAGGCCACAGGCTGTGCTTTTCCTACCGTATTCCATCTTCAGCTTCTTGGGGTAGAAGGATCTTTCAGTTGTTTTTTTTTTAATTTTTTTTTTTTTTTATTTTTTCAGTGCCAGGTATGGAACGTCCCTCCAACGTCTTGTGTGTGTGCTAGGCAAGCATGCTGTGGCTGAGTTACGCCCACATCCCTGAAACTGCATCATTCTTCAGGGCTTCATGGCATTAAGAGGAATTTTTGGCTGTTTCTTTGGGTGTTTCCTTTAGCCAAGGGAGACCCCTGGGAATAAGCACAGTTCCTGCTCCTGTTTTCCCACGCACAGTGAGACCCTCAGCAGGCACACAGGACCTGGATGCCCACTGGGGGCCATCACTCTAATCTGTGGCTTCCTGGCTTTGTGACTCAGCTTTCCTCGATCCCATAAAGAGGTGGACAGTACAGGCTTTGGACCTGCGTTCATGTCCAGATTCCGGCCTTGAGTCCATCCTCGAAGTTCCCAGCATTCTCTGCTGTGAGTCAGCAGTGCATTGGGTGCATGTGGGCTTTATGTCTCAGGTACAGAGGCTTTATGCACCCAGGGACAGAGATGAGCCCAGGGCAGCGGCTCTGGGCTGTGCTGGGAAGTCGCAGAGTGGAAGATCTGACAGATCTCCCAGTGGGTGGGAAGGCCCTGGCCACTCAGCTCTGCTGCTTGGGAGGGCGGGGACTTGGGCCAGTGGATCCCGGATGTGCATAAAGAAGCGGCCTGGCAGCAGATGGAATGAGAGGCCTGCTGTCAGGCAAAAGGGTGCTGCTCAAACTGCTGTGACACAGAAACCAGGTTCTGCCAGGGAGTCATTGGCACCTGATGTGGCAGCAGCCAGGTCCACAAGAAGTAGAAACTGAAGTCGTGGTTCTCTGGGCCCTTGTCTGCCACCATCTTCCTGGGCTGGGGCTAGCCTATGGGAACCAGGGTGATCTAGAGATTGTAAATGCTGTACCCTTCCCTTCCCTTTCCTTCCCTTTCCCTCCCCTCCTCTCCCCTCCCCTCCCTTCCCTTTCCTCCTTTTCCTTTCCTTCTTTTTTTTCTTTGGCACGAGCTCACTAAGTGGTTTAGGCTGGGCTTGAACCCACTATGTACCTCAGGCTGTCCTTGAACTCCTGGTGGCCATCCTGTCTCAGCCTCCTGCGTGCTGGGATGACAGCAATGCCACACTATGCTAGACTCATATTTACTTGATTGTGGTACTGCGGACTGAACCCTGGGCCTATACACCGAACTACCCCCTCAGTCCTTTTTTTTGTTTAAATTTTGAGACAAGGTCTAAATTGCCCAGCCTGGGCCTGAACTTGCAATCCTCCTGGCTCAGCCTCCCAGAGTGCTAAGATTACTGGTGTGTACTCCCGTGGGCTGGGATCTCCATGTTTTTATTTTTTGGCAGAATCGGGGATTGAACTCGGGCCCTTGTACTTGCCAGGGAAGTGCATATTCCACTGAGCCATTGTTTAATGTATTTGGTTCTTGCAGGGTCTCACTAACACTAAGCAGCTTGGTGATCCTCCTGCTTTCAGGCTCTCCAATGCTGGGATTACAGGCCTTTGGAGGCTGGCCAGCTCAGCCTGCCCTGGGGGTGGGGCTGGCATGGCATGTGGTGCTGGGGATTGAACTGTGGTCCCTGTGCTTGTTTAGGCTTGTCAAGACAAGTGCTTTAGTCCACTGAGCTATCTTGCCAGCCTCAGCTCTCCATTTGAAATCTACTCCCTTGATGTTGGGCTCAGCTCTAGAGCTTAGCTGTGAGCAGGGCAGTCAGGTGTCTCTGCCGGAGCCCCCACCTGGGTTCCTGCTGGCCCTGCTTGTCCCTGGAGAGGCAGATCAGTCTGACTACTCTGTGGTGGAGCAGGCAGGAAGGGCAGAGGTGTGGGCACCAGAAAGTGGGCCCTGCAGGTTCAAATCCAGCCCTGGTAATTGCTAGCTGTGAATTTGGACCTTGTGCAATTCCTGAGCTGTGAAATGGGGACAAGAGTGTGTGCGGCTCAGAGGTCAGGTGCAGGGGGCTGGGAACAAGGTTTGGCCAGGAGGAAGAGCTGATTCTTGAGGGAGCCTTCCTGCTTCCAGGGCAGAGTGGGCTGGGGTAACCTGGTGCTCTGCCCCCCCCAACCACAGAAACACAGACCCTTGAGAGGGCCAGGGTGACACTCACCACCAAGGACAGGTCCACGTTCTCCATCCTGCGGTCCTGCAGGAGCACGGGCTGCAGGCCGGCGACGCGCAGCTGCACTGACGACGTTCGGTACACGAAGCTCAGCAGCCAGTCTCCTCTGTGGGTGGGGACCACAGCGACATCAGTTTGAGCAATCACAGGTTGTGCCCTGCCTGCCACTGGGGAGCCTGGTGACTCTTCAGCCTCTGTGGACAAGAGGGCTGAGCTCTCCTGGGAGCAGCAGCCCGGACACTTGGAGCCAATTGGGTGCTGGGGGAGGGACGGGCACTGGGCCTAGAGCTGGGTGCGTGCACCGCGGGGCTCTGCCTGGGCTGCCTGGTTTCATCTTTTGGGGAACCCGAGCCAATCACACTGTCTGTCTGGCATGCAATGCCTGTTGACTGAACAGGTAGCTTTTAGATGTTTTGTGGTACTGAGGATTGAATCTCGGGCCTTTGCCCTGAACTATGTCCCTAGTTCTTTTTTACTTTGAGGCAGGTCTTGCTAAGTCACAAAGTTGCCCAAATTGGGCTTGAACTTTCAGTCCTCCTGCCTCAGCCTTCCTGAGCGCTGAGCGAGGAAGCTGGAGAGAATTCAGGCACCGGAGCGAAGCTGCAGACACCACTGCTGGTGCGGGCTCCCTGGGCAGGGAAAGGCCTTACGGGCTTCCTGTGGACAGCGCTCACCAGGAGCGCGGCTCCTCCAGCTCAGCCTTCTAAGAACAGCCCAGGCCCCTTCTGCAGTTCCTGTTTGCCCTCTAACACTTCCGAGGAGGCCGGGGCATCGGACAGGCCTCGTCCACGCCCATCGATGCAGAGAGCCACATGTGCGCCCCTCTGCTCTCTGGCAGACACAGCCTGGACGTGGCCACCCATCTCTGCAGGGTACTGTCCCAGGGTCTCACAAGATAGCATCTCTTTTGGCCCCCTGAACCTCATCCCCAGGGAAGTGGGCGGTCACCTGCGGTGCACACGGGCTGTACCCTGCAAGTCCGCGCAGGCGCATGCGCAGGCCCCTTTCCCCACCCTCCCCTCCCCCACACATAGAAAAAGGCCCTTTCCTCACTGTGTGTATGTGCGGAGGTAAGGTGGCTGGGAGACAGGAGGCACTTCAGGCTGACTTTGATCCTGTTTTTTTTTTTTTTTTTTTTTTTTTTTTTGTGGTCCTGTAGATTGAAACCAAGGCCTTCACGCTGAGCCCCTACTGGCTTTTTATTTTGAGATCTCTCTAAATGCTATATTGCCCACACTGGGCTGGAACTTGCAACCCTCCTGCTTCAGCTTCTTTTTCAAAGCGGCCAGCAGAAGCTCCCATGACGCATCCCATCTGTTCTGGCACTTCTGCGCCTCCCTTTCCCTCTCCTAGCTCCTGGGCCCCTGCCCCCCCAGCCTCTGTCCCCCCCCCAGCCTCTGTCCCCTCCCCTCCAGCCCCTGCGGCCTTCCTCACACACCCACCCGACCTGGCTTTCTAGTCCCCATGGACAACGGTTATCTGAACAGAGGAGAGCGCTTCTAGGAACAGACATCTACAGGGAGAAAGGGGACGACCTCCTCACGAGCCCTGGGCACCAAATCCTGGACAGCATCTTCCCGCCCTGTTATTTCTGTTGTAATGAAGACAGCTCTTGATAGGTTAATTACCCATGAGCATACATACCCATCGAAGGACAGGGCAGGAATGGATGCTAACGTTCAGCACCCTCCCTACTGTGCTGGGCAAACTGTCCGGCTTTCCTTCACTGGCATTCCAAACCTTTCTCCTTCTGGCTGCGACCCACGCAAGCCAGGCTCCAATCCTGTCTTCTCCATGAGAGCGGTGTGACCTTGGGCAAACCGCTTGACCTCTCTGAGCCTCAGTCTCCTCCATTCACTTTAGCCCCCAGAGTTGTGTGAGTGCTAGCTGAGATGTGTACACAGCTGCTCAGGGAGTCTCGGGCACTACTGCTGGCTCCCAGACAGGGCCCTCAATGACTTGGCCAACGCTTCCCATCTCTCATTTCTTTTTTCTTTTTTTTTGGTACTGGGAATTGAACTCAGGACTTTGAACTTGCCAGGCAGGCACTTATGCTGCTGGACTATATCTCTGTCCTTGATGGGGTCTTATACACATACTTCTGAAATTGAGCTTGGATGTTGCCTGCTCCAGGGGAGCCCCAGGCTCTGCAGCTGTTGCTGTTGCTCCTTTAGCCCTTCTGCGCTGGCTGGAACTTGCTGCGATGCTCTCCCCAAGACCTGTGTGCAGCTTCTTGAGTTGTTCGCCTTTCCTCCCATAGTCGCCGCTGGCTCCTGAGCTGAGCCTGGCCCTGCCTGAGGTCCTGGGAAAGTCTCTGTCCCCTTCCTCCTCCTGTCTTCTCCTGGAGGAGACAGGGTGCGGCAGCCTTCAACCGAGGGGCCGTGAGAAGCCTGAGACAGTGAGCAGCTGCCAAGGGTGCTGAGGTCACACATTGACCAGCCCAGACTCAGTCATGCCGACCTGAGCCCCCAGCCCCAAGTGTAAGTTGACAACAACCTAAGATCTTTGGGGCCAAGAACCAGAGCTCCAGGCTGGTGCTTAATGGGACCAAAAATCTACAGCTACGGTTTGGGTCTGTCTGTGCGCTCTGTTCCCTCCCCTGAGAAGAAATGGCCTAGGGTCTCATAAAAAATTTGAAATCTAAGCTTATTAGCCTTAGGTTCTTAACAGAACAGATGAATTTCATAAGATTTCCTGTTTTCATATGGCACACATACAATTTTAACGTCCTCTCTCTGTTTACAAAAAAAATCACGTGTTGTGATTTTTTTGTGAAAAAAAAAAATCGCTATGCCCAGTAATACATATTATAACTGCTGTCATTTTCCTGGGGACCTACTAAGTGGCAGTTCTTCCCTGTCAGCATCTTGCCTGGGCAGGAGGGACCATTATTCCTATTTACAGGGACACTGAAATTCAGGAAAGTTGTCCAAAACCACTCAGAAGAGCCGAGATCTTTCACCCAGGACCACCTGACGTCAAAGCCTTTGTCCATTCTTGTTGTTTTTCTTCTTCTTCTCCTCCTTCCCCACCTCCTTATTCTTTTTATAATGCTTTTTGAGACAGGCTCTCGCCATCTAGTTCAGGATGGCCTTGAACTCACTATTTAGCCCAGGCTGACCTCGAATTTGTGGCGATCCTTCTGCCTTGGCCTCCTGAGTGCTTGGATTACATGCGTGTGCCACCACATCCAGTCTATTCTTTTTAACTTAAAAAAAAAAAAAAAAAAAGAAGAAGAAGAAGCCTCGGAGCCGGGGAGATGGCTCAGTGGAATAAGTGCTTCCCTGGCAAGTGCAAGTGCCTGAGTTCAATCCCCAGTTCTGGAAAAAAAAAAAAAACAACAGAGCCTCTCTGACGGCCTACTTTGTCTCTGTCTACTCCTTAGGGAGCCCATTACTGTTCTAGCGGTTCTCCCGGAGCCTGACTGTGCATGTGTGCACACCCACAGGTACGCATGTGCATGCACAGAGATGGATTCCCTTCTAAATCCAAGTGGGATCGCAGTATGAGCTGCTGTACTTGCCTTCTGTCCCCGTGATAGCTTGTGTCTAGACATTCCCCCGAAGCCTCACGCAGTCATAGGAGGGGCTTTTCGGAGGCGGCCGGATCCAGGGTGTGTGATACTGGGATGGAGGGTGTATGATCGCTACATCAGTCCACGGGCTGGTTTGGCGGAGTTCTCGACAGGATTAAGGGCGCCCCAGCCTGGGTGTGAATGCTACCTGTCCTAAGGATGTGTAGCCTGGAGAAGATATAAGGGACAGAAAGAGGACTGCTGGCTGTTGCTTGTGCTTCTGCCTCCTGCCTGCTATGGACTGTCTCTCCTCTGCGA